CCCTCTTTTAGTTTAGTTTGAAATCCTACCACTTTTTGGTTCTGATCTAGAGCAGAGACCTGCCCAGTAAAAGGATGAATGTCTTTGCTCAATTTCTTGTGTCTTCATGGACATGCAGGACTGTTTTGGCAATAGGATCAGACTTCCTAAATCAATAAATAATAAACAAAAGCATTTCTGAATCTCTTTCAGGACAGACAAAAGAATATATATTTTTACACAAGGTGTAAGTCAACCTTAGAATTTGCTACCACAAGATGTGGGGCTGGTTACTAGCTTGGCTGGCTTCCAAAAAGGATTGGGACCAATTCATAGAAGTCCTGGGGATCAATGATGCTTAGCCTTTATGGCAACGGGACTGCTTCTGAAGGCCATCTGCTGGGAGACTCGTGGGCTTCTTTGGGCAGTTGGTGAGAACAAACTGCTGGAGGAGATGGGCCAGGGGTCTGATCCAGCAGGACACTGCTTATGTTCTTAGGTTCTCTCCTGTGATATGCCAGGCAGCATCAGCTAAAAACTAATGATTGTATGAACTCCTTGAAAACTTGGTTAATCTGATAGGTGGGGCTTAGTCTGTGGTTTCTGTTTATATCAGAAATCTCTCCTTATTTTACTTAAGGGAGACAAAACAAGGAGTATCATCCAAATACTAAAAAGACCCAACCCCATGTAGTTTCCAATCCCAGGTAATGATGGTCAGTTGGTCCTATGGAGCACAGAAGTACAAGATGGAGCTACGTCAACTAATAAGGCAGTTTGATTGAGCTTGTCAGTCACTGGCATTCTTTAGATGAGAAGGTCCTATAAACTAGTTTTTATTTATTTATATATTTAAGCAATTTTTATGGCTGCCCAACTCACTCACAGTGACTCCAGGTGGTTTACAGGAATAAAAATCCCAAATACAAAACCCATTATACCCCCCACTCCCTTGGTGACAACAACACATTCACACTAGTAAATTTTCTGGTATTTTTCCATTTCTCTCTGTTTTCTGAGTTTCTAAATAGCTATTTCACATGTTTTCCCTTTTTCTTATAGTTTTGAAAGGAAGCCTATCTCCAGAAGTGTCTAAGGAAGATGTCTTATGGATCCATTGATGGAGGTGGGTTTGGAAGCAGGAATACCTTTGGAGGACCATCAAGACAAGGATATCAGCCTTTAGGTAAGTTAGACTTTGACCTACATACAATGATTTTTTTACCCTGTCTTTCTTTTCTTTATATTATAACTATTGTTTTAATGGGTAATAGAACTCAGACATATCCAAGTGCATCTGTTAGGATCCAAAGGCTGACTTTAAATTCAGAATTAATGAGTGTATCACAACTATAAGTCTTAAAGACACCATGTTACCTCTATGTTGGGGTCAACATGCCTCTGAATACCAGCTGCAATGAAATTATGGCAAAAGAAGGGTGTGTCTCCATCCTCTTCTTAGCATCCCAGAGGCATCTGATTGCCTAGTGAAATACAAAAAGCTAGACTAAGTTGGATCTTGCCTGGATCCAACAGAGCTGTTCTTACCTTGTTATGGATGAACCAATGATATCTGAGAGTCACTTTATGTGAGATGGGTGACTATATAAATATGATAGATAGATAGATAGATAGATAGATAGATAGATAGATAGATAGATAGATAGATAGATAGATAGATAGATA